CTACACTAACGTGACGTTTACTAGCCCTCTCTGTTTTCTTTCAAGAATTTGTTACATTGCCTGCAGCTAAAATGTATATAATTTCGGAAGTTATTTTTGTTGGTACTACAAAGCCATCACAACTACAATAAACTTATTTAAAGCATATAGTTTGTTGAATAAACAAAATTCCACTCCCTAATTTATATTTTATCATACACTAAAAAACGTAATTGAATATCAGGAAAACGTAATAAGGGACACTGTGGTATTTTTACCAATAATACGGTGATTGTTTCTAATTAAAAAAAAATAATTCCTCCAACAACAGGTGCATCAACTTAAATACAGATATGTTCTTAATTCAGAACAGTATGAATATTTGTATATGGGTGGAATTGGGGGCGAACGTAAATAAATTAATGCTAAACATAAAAACTTCTCAATACTGTGAGGTACTTATTAAAGTTATTGTAGCATTCACATACGATTGTAAAAACCTAAGCAAGACACACGTCTTGTACAAACGCAATACGACATTTTTAAGGCTGCTGAATATCCACTTTTTGTTAAACTTAGGTTAAAAACAGACATATGGTTTGTGAGTTAGGTTCATCCAAGTCTTCAAAACTCCAGTTTCCATGGGTTTGTAATTTAACTGTATATTCCTCTAAATATTACAATTTACACTCCAGCTTCGTATCGTTATTTGAAAATTCTCGCCTAATTAAATAATATATTCAATTAACTAATGGTTAACTTAAAAAGTATGCAAATCCTGTGTTTATAATTCTATTAGTAAAAAATATAAAGTTTCTCTGTACGTTAAGCAAGTTTAAGAGCCTATTAAATCTTACCTGCACTTTTCAAGCTGCTTGTTATCAGGAGCAAGAAAAGAAAACGTGAAAATGCACAACCGATAGACAATAACGGGTAGCTGCCGAAAAGCCACGGCCCCATCACCACCCATAAATCGGGGCCGCGGCAGCGTCGTACTGCGTCAGAAAGAATGGTTTCCTTACGATTCTGCCTGCATTCGCTGGGGACATGAAAAAAATAACACTTTGAAAAGGTCCTTTATACAGTGACATTCCTTTTTCTCAAACTTTCATTTATTCCGTATGGGATCACTATGGACTTTTCTATACATTATGATATCTATTCTCTCTACGAAAAACGAAATAAATTGAAAGTAAGAAACACATTTCAAAACCTCAGATCATTCCGTCAACATAACATAAAGGCGCTTCGCGGCGATGTAACACAAGAATACAGAGTATCAAAAGCTATAAACTGAGCGCATGCGCTCTAACACAAATCCACGCCTACCTTGATGAACAAGCGCCTCAAGATGTTTTGTGATTGGGCTAAAAGACCGGTTTCTGCAGCGAAGACGTGATTGTGACCTTTATGGTACTCGAAGGCGGAGGCTAGTTCCAAGGTTCAGGGTTAGAAAAGGGAGAAGCCAGAGAATCGTGAAAGGCAGTAAGAACACACCTATGGGCAAACTAGTTTACACCTTTAATAAGAAACGTTAGATGTCATGAAAATAAACAAAAAAAGTCGTGTAAAAACCAGTTGATTACAAAACTTTATAAAGTTATATTTAATGAATGTAACAAAAATTATGTAAACATATTTGCTATACGTTTAAAGTTATATAATGGAATACAATTAAATGTTTAAACATTTAGTTTGAAGAGATAGTTTATTACTGGAAATACTGACAACATTTCTAACGAAATTAATATATGTATATATACGTATTTTAATTTCGCAATGAAAATACATTTGTTTTTTATAACGTAGCATCATCATACAGCGTAAACTTGGTATCATTCACTTTGACTGTCTTTGTATCTTGCTTGTTCAACTTTTAAAACTGATAAGGCACTGATTATTTTTTCTCTTGCGCTTTAAGTTGAATTTTCCTCCAGAAACACTCCAGGCCGATGTTGCTTCCAGTATCTATTTGTAAGCAGAATGTGAGGTTGCCAAGAAACACCCCTGAAACAGCAGGTTTTGTTTTCTTTTTAGTACGACCTCGGAAAAACAAGTTTTACATGTTGACGTAACTGGGTTTTTAGTATAGAAGCAAAACATCACGTGCCCTTTATTATGACCTACAACGCGACAAATAGTACAAGTGCCAACACCTAAACATTTTTCAAAATCTATTTTTAATTGAAGTGTGCATATAAGAACGCTCCGTCTGCAAATGTTTGTTTGTGTTACTTATCGAACTATTACAAAAGAGCATACTGGCTAGAAACTGGCTGTTCCTACTTCTACTGCTAGTCTAACCACAGCGAACGAGTTTCCATAGAAACACCATCACAGATGCGTTTCACGGAAGAAAATTTTGTTTCTGTGACGACAAAACCAGGGGGGTTTACCTATGAGGGCGTAGATTCACAAAGAGCATTACATGCACGAGGTTGCTGTAGCAACAAGCAAAAACTAATGAACGATCGCACCTTGGCTCGCCTTTCTATTACCGTCGCATCCTTGATCCACGCTACAGGAGGGCGTCCTTTTCGCGCCTTAGTAACACTGCTCCATGGGACACCACAATCTGGCTAGAATTATAAGGATGTTTGGTACATGCACATGTAGATTATGGCTGAACATCAATTATTGTTTTGTAATTTTCGTGGCTGATCTTATTTTTGTCTGTTGTAATTTATTCATCATCTATTTTTTTAAGAAGGTCTATCTTCCAAGAAGGTTCGGGTTATCGAGTTTCTTATTATTAAGAAAAAGCAGGCGCATCTGGTTTATTGATTCTGTTTCTTAACAGAGCTTAAACATCTACTACGTTAATAAGCAACAGAAAGTACAAAGCGTTGATACACTGGTAGACGAGTAGTACGCCGGTGTGTCAGCACTAAGTTTACGGACTTACAACGCTAAAATCTGGTGTTCGATTCCCGGAGGGTAGAGAGAACACATATAGCCTAATCTGTGAACTTGCGCTAAAACACTATTGGCTAACACTTAATTAGGAGTTGGATGATCACTTTTCAACAGACAAGCTCTTCTATTAAGAGAGTAATGCCAGGAGTCAGCTCGAAGCCTAGAATTTAGTAAAAATATGTTGACAGGTGAAGTTTAAGCAAGTATTATCTTAGGTGTGTAATGTCAATGTTTTTTTTTGTTTTTTTACAGTGAAATAATTATATAAGATATAAGTTATTTGTTTACCAATTTATTCTCGATTGTAGATGGCCCACGACTCTGGGTTTCTTGACCTTCAAACAGTAGTAGCTTCACACAGGTATGCGCAGTAAGGGAGGAACATAGAAACACTGCATCATATTATAAAAGATCTAATACAGTATCTAACTAGGCAAATTACAAATGGTCTAACACTTCCATCAAAATGGAATATAACTTAACAATAAGCATAATATGAAAAAGTTAATATATATATATATATCACATAAGATTCTTCTAAGTTAAAAATTCTTAGCGATTCTTTTTTTTACATATATATTTATTGCCGTTGCAGTACAGACAGAGCTTGCTTCTGTCTACTCTTGTCCTCTTCCTAGTTTACGTAGAAAATTGTTAAGTAAAAGTAATGTGGGGTCCGATGGGAAGCCTGCTTTGTGTTGATTGTTTAAGTTTGCAGTTTGTAGTTGGAGTGAAGCTATTACAGTCTTCATCTAAGAAGATTGGTGTTTTATTTTCATGAATGATCATGAGATGTAGACCTGTTATACTGAATATTTTGTTTTCCTTGGGTCCTCAAAGACGTTTGAAGAATAACGAATTCCTGGTGGTCATATTTTTGTCTTTCTGTTGAGAATGATAAGTGACCATTTTTACATCAGTGAAGATCTAAGTTGTGAGGTTAATTACCCCTTTCTGTTTCACTAGTACAATGACACCAACTGTTATATTAGGTTGATGAGTATACAAATATTTGCCTACTTGTTTTTCATGACAGTTGCTGGATCCCTCAGTTGAAACTATTTGTCTTTGTTCGATCTGCTGAAACTCTGAAAAGTTGTTCTAATTTTAGTTGGAGCAGGTGATTTTCCTATTTGAAATGTGAAGTAGCTTGAAAGTTTTGTAGAAAATCATCCACGGTTTGACGTGATTGCTCTAGTACTTTAATAAGGTTCCTCATAAATCTTTCTGCTTCAACATTGGCTCTGGTCCAGTGTGATGTAATTTTGCTATGGATGAAATCTAGGTGTTCCACAAATGTTTTGAAATCTTGGCTGATGAACGGTGGTCCAATTACCGTTTTTACCACTTGAGATATACATGGCTTAGGTATGGTATGACAGTGTTTGTTGACGTGTACGTTACTCTGGGGAGTGCTGGCGTCTTGAGAGTCTTATTGTGGCATGGCTCAAAAAATTTCTGAAGTTTAATTTGTGTTATTATGTCGTAAAAGTAGTCAGTTAATTTGGCTTAACCTGGCTGATGAATGGGCTGAAAGTTTTATAGTTGCATCAAAGCGGAAAATGTTCAATCCTTGCGGTAGGCTGAATCCAGAACATTGGAAATGAGCTTCAAAACTTTGTAATCTATCATCGATTTGAAGGGTATAGAATGTCTTTTCGCTGCATCATCGGTAGGCTGAATCCAGAGCATTGGAAATGAGCTTCAAAACTTTGTAATCTATCATCGGTTTGAATGGCATTACACAGGTATAGAATGTCTTTTCGCTGCATTATCGGTAGGCTGAATCCAGAGCATTGGAAATGAGCTTCAAAACTTTGTAATCTATCATCGATTTGAACGGCATAACACAATTATAGAATGTCTTTTCGCTGCGTCATTAAGTGCTCAGCTGTCCCAAGCAATGATTATGTGTTCTTTGTCTGGGGCTCTGCTTTGCATTCAGATAGTACCTAGTTCTACAGGACTCATGTCAACATGTGCTTTTAAGTGTGGATTTGGATCAAAATATCTCATTATGCTGTCACTTATGAGTTACTACTTCAATAGTGCACTCTTGTGTTCTTTAGTTCATATCCCTTATCAAATTGTTATCCTTAGCTTATGCAGGACATATTTAATGGTTGCTAAATTTGGTATGCAATGACAAATTTTCAACTTAAAAAGCACAGTGTGGAGTTTCCATATATTGAGTGGTTATAACTTTTTTGCGGATAAGAAGAAATTAGTGAAGAAGTTCCAAAATAAAGATAAATTAAAATTGCATTTATTTATGTTGTTGAAGAGCTAATTTACCGTATTTTTCGGTGCACTTTTTACCACAAAATTTGATGTCAAAATCTGCTTGCGTCCTATACACCGAAGGTATGAATAATATATATGTATATATATATACGATATACACAAGCCATGTGTAAATATATTTAAACAGGTATGCATAGTTTAGTTTAATTGAATGTGTTATGTATAACAATAGTAGTTTTTTCTTTTAAAAACATAACTATTTATAATGCTTCCTAAATAATGAAAAAATTAATTACAG